TGCTCCAGTTCTGAGGTGCGGGCGCCCAGGGCCTGGATCTCAGCTTTGATATCATGTGTGCTGCGGGTGATTTCACTTGCCAGGTATGTTTTGACCTCTGCAAGCCTTTGCAGGATTTGTTCTGTGCTGCCTCCGTCTGGCTCCTGTTGCTCCCGGTCCGTTGGGGATTGGGAGCCTCGCGCGCCCATCCGGCGGCCATCTTGTGAGGTCTGTGCGGCCTGTGTTGGTCGCGAGGCCGCGAACATGTCGGCCACTGAGGGGGGGAAATCCAGCGCTTCCCCGCGTTTCTTCCGGCGTGGAGTGGCTCCGGTGCTCGGGTGGGGCATAGGGAAGGTAGGTGCTGGCTGCGGTGCTGGTTGCCGGTGCGGAATTGTGTGTGGGTGAGCGGGAGCTCGCTCGTTAGGCTGCCATTCTAGTCGGCTGCCAGGCCACATGTTCTTAATATTTTATATATAGTTTTGGGTGTTAATCCAAGAGTATTGAATTATTTGGAATTATTAAAGTAATTAATTGGGAATATCAAATCAAGGTTTAGGAACAGAGTTTTAGTGGGAATTATGCCCATATGTGTATGTTAAGATTATATATATATATTTCGTCAGTTTGTCACTTGCTCGAGAAAGACAGATTGCATAAAATATAAGAAAAACTGAGAAAAGTACAGGTTACACACGTTAAAGATTTAATTTTAGTTTCTAATTTGACTTTTATCTGGGTAATAGATTAATTGATGTCATATTGATCCTTGTGTTTGTATGATTATAGAGACCGTACTGGAGTGTTTGTGCCGCCTGATATTTGGGACTACACACCAATCTCTCTGGCTGACCTACCTATTTTGCAATTAAATCTGTTTGGTCAAAATCCATGCAGGCCGAAGAAACTGAGATATATGATAACATAAACTAACTTGGAAAGTCCTGACGGTGCAGTGCTGTCTAATGCCGCTGGTTCTGTATTAACCCTTTCAATAATTGGGGTGTTGCACATAGCATTGTGGCGGAACATCCAGCAAACAGAAGAAGAATTAAGAACTATGTGGAAGCTGACATTGTCTTGTTGTCAGCCAGATGGCTACCCTTAGCTATTTTATGGAACAAAATGTATGGTGTCCAAATTTATACTCCCTGAAAGGCTTGTTCTATTTTTCTGAACTATTTTATTTTAACTTTTTGTAGAGTTAGCCGGAGAGAGAGAGGAAGTGTTAGCTGACCCAAGGAAGGATGCAGTATGTGTCGTTGATGTATGTTGAGTGTGCCAAGGATGGATTCCCATGTATTGAGGAACTGAGTGTGGATATGACCGGTTTTGACTGGACCGTTGGAATAGGGACATGATTAGGAGACATAAGACGCAAGGTCCTGGTTGGAATTATCGTCAGAATTGCAAGCTAGAATATAATTTATCTCATGATTTAATATGTCAGTGGGCCTTTTCAACCAATCAAGAAGTGTTTCCCAATTCTTACCGAGGCCCAAGCTATGTACTCACAGGTGCGGGTATCATAAGTCACAAGTGGTGCCAACGTGAGGGATGACGTCTATACGGTTGTGGGCACCCCCTCAGGGTTTCCCTAGATGTGCTTCTTTGTCAAATACAAGCTTTCTTGTCACTTTTTTTTTTTTTTTTTACCTGGCCCCAGAACAGTGGGTGGACTGGTAATCCTAGACCCTGGTCCACGGAGGAGGGATGGGTATTTTTCCCACTTTGTCTATATACAATGCTTAGTGAAAATACCTCTAGACAGAGCTATAAACTTTCCAGTCTCAGAGCGTTATTTTCTGTTTTCTATTTCTGTTATTCTAACTGCGTAGTAACTTTTTTATTTCAGCTGCGTAGTTAAAGGACCACTCTAGGCACCCAGACCACTTCAGCTTAATGAAGTGGTCTGGGTGCCAGGTCCAGCTAGGGTTAACCCATTTTTTCATAAACATAGCAGTTTCAGAGAAACTGCTATGTTTATGAATGGGTTAAGTCTTCCCCTATTTCCTCTAGTGGCTGTCTCATTGACAGCCACTAGAGGCGCTTGCGTGCTTCTCACTGTGATTTTCACAGTGAGAGCACGCCAGCGTCCATAGGAAAGCATTATGAATGCTTTCCTATGTGACCGGCTGAATGCGCGCGCAGCTCTTGCCGCGCGTAGCATTCAGCCAGGAGGAGGAACGGAGGAGGATCGGAGGAGGAGAGCTCCCCGCCCAGCGCTGGAAAAAGGTAAGTTTTTACCCCTTTCCCCCTTCCAGAGCCGGACGGGAGGGGGACCCCGAGGGTGGGGGCACCCTCAGGGCACTATAGTGCCAGGAAAACGAGTATGTTTTCCTGGCACTATAGTGGTCCTTTAAGCTGAAACTACAATGAGTACTCCCCCATTACACCTGCAAGCTAGCTATAGGATAAGATATGTAGAGATAAGATTGATGTTTTTATTGGATAATGTTTATAAGACCACCCCTGTTTCCTCTTGAATATAACCTGTTACACAGCCTATTAAATGTTAGGAGTCCCAGGCTTAGCACTGCATAATAACTGAGTAATTAATGCCCTAGCCTTTTCCCTCTCCAAAAAAGGTTTCAATGTGACATCCCAGGCCTTGAAGGAACTTCTTGCTAGATAACCAGGCCAATAGAAAGGCAGTCCTCGAGAATAGGGTGGCCATAGACTATCTTTAACTAAAACATGACTTAGGGTGTGAAGCTGTAAGCGGGATGTGCGGTTTTAATTTATCCGACCATGGAACTATGATCCACGAACACATACAAAATCTACACAGCTTGGTTCAGGACATTAAACAAGACACTGGGTTCTTTGACGGCTCGGACTGGACCTTTTGGTTGGGAACCTGGCTAAGCCTACTAGTAAAGAAAATATTGTATTTCCTGCTTATTGCTGTGTTGATTATTTTATTGTTTTTTTCTACTTTTCAGATTGTTTTCATGGCCACCATCACTCACCTGGACATCGACAGAACCAAGATTCTGGTGAAGAGTCATTTTGGTATTGAATTGCACCAGAAATATCTGTAATGTTAAATGACTAGAAATAATGCGCGGTTGACAGCCTTTAATACAAAGCAATTCAAATCTCCTTCCTCAAACATTAATGACAGCCAGACAGACCGTCTTCTTATACATCACATTAAAAGCTGAACTTTCTACATAAAGTGCATTCAAATATAAACTGATATTGTCAGCTGTAAAACCAGTAACTAACTAATCCATTCAGAGGGTTCAGCTACACAACATACATCTTAATTCATAGAAATGCGTTGCCATCACTAACATACACACAGCATTGGCTCTAAGTAAAAGGGGGAAAACAACACCACCACATTTTTATTAAATGGAAACAACAAACATGGGAATTAAAAAAAAAAAAAAAGTTATGGGGGGGGCGGGGCCTGACCAGCATGGAAGATAGACGTGCCACTGCAGAGCTCCTCAGAACACAGGGCAAAACACGACTTTTCAGCCCTAAAAGCTTTAAAAAAGGAAACCCAAATGGTCTCATCTGACCCACTAAAGGGCACTGAACCGACCATGCAGCCTGTGATCACTCTGAAACCGGCTGGCAGACCGACTTGCGCCATCGGGGGTGATCGCGGTCCACACCTGAGAGACAAATCGAGACTGGAGCGGGAACAGTGGGGAAAAGCGCGGGGAAGCATGCAACAAGACGCTGCACCCAACATGGCGGACGCCACGCTTCCCCTTGAACCTACAGACCCACAGTATGGGACCCGGCAAAGACTGGAAGCACTCTTCGACAATTTCTGGCGTAAGCTGGAGGCTAAAATGAAACCGACGGCCTCACCACAAATAAGCGAGAGGTGTAAAAGCAGCAAGCATGGCGCTACCAAGAGGGCCGCCGAGCCACAACCCAAACAGAGCAACTCGGGCCTACCAGCGCAAAAACGGAGGGAGGTCTGTAAACCCAAACCAAAAACCAAACCAGCATCGCCCATCAAAAAGGCGTACAAAGCTGCCGCGCTGACTACCCGGCATCCTTCTGGGCTGGGAGCCCATCAGGGGCTTACCCCATGCCGTCCATACACCCGTGGGGACACCCGGGACAGGGAGAAACCGTGGGCCCCCAAACCAACCACAAGGCGGGGGCTCTCGCTAAGGCCCGGAGCCAGAGACTGGGGAAATCGAGCCACAGCCGGAACACCCGAACGGTACGGCGAGTCCACTACCACACGCGCATACAGACCCCAGCCAGGAGAAGCAATACTGACCTGTGGACATTGCCTCTGAGCACCACTTATGACCTGTGGACACTACCTTTGAGCACCACCTATGCTTCTCTTGCAGGCACCAAGAACATACCGACTATGGGAGTCGGCTGACTTTCGGGAACACATTGGGGGCTAGCCTGCTGCCTTATCACCACGTCCATCCAACCCCAGCGGACACTATCCTGCTTATACTGTATCAACCTTGTTGATTTAAGTGCAAGCATGTTTAATTCTCTTTTGGTATGCTATCCCTAATGGTCAATGTCAGACAAGTAAGCCAAGCAATGTCCCTTTAGACTAACCTGATTAAACAGGGCTCTAAATTGTTTAAGTTGTTTAAGATTTGAGTCCCATATCTCAGCATCCCACCCACCCCCCACATATAGGTCATACTACCAATATGCCTTAAGCTTCAGTCTATAACACGAGTAACAAGCCTACCTAATTTCTTATTTTATTATTTTCTCTTATTATGTTTAACATGAGACCTGCATATTTAACTATAAGCAAAAGTGTAAGTGTACTTAGCTATGACACTCAAAGTTATATGTATACTTGACCTAGCATGTCGAAAATACACTCAACTACCATATGCCATAGCCTAACTTGTTTATACTCTAGCTATAAGTAACAATTAGGCATTGCAAATCGACAAATGTTTAAACGTTTATTGCATGATGTATAAAATACAAAAATTTTGTGCATGTCAAACGAAAGTGAAGCTACACCAGAGGACTGCCTTTGGGGCACCTCGGGTTTCTATGTAACCCTCTACTGCACCTCAAAAAAAAAAGTTATCATTGAAAATCATCCATCTGTAAAACAAACAGAGTTTAAGGTAAGGGCGTTATGAAGGTATTTGTGTAGGGTAGCTCCCTAGCCCCATTCCTTTATACATATGGCGCCCTATCTGAAAGGCTGCGGCTAAGTGAACAGAGACACGTTATGGACAGGTAACTGCAAATCACAGACTTCTCAACTGGCTCTTATTCCATCTCTACTCAGCAGGTCATATAATAAACCCTGAATTGTAGCCGATATTCTAAGTGCAAGGCCGAGGCTGAAACAGCCGCGCTGTGACTAGAGCAGAGTTGGAGAATTTCCCCAGAGCAGCTATTTCAGCCGCAATGCTGCCATTTTATTACACGACAATTCTGAGTTTAGTGAATAATGCTGTAAGTGGAATATTTGGTTTCTCCATTTAACTTGTAATATCTATTGCCATGCAGAAGAGAGGATGGTTTATAGCCAATGGTGAGGTCTGCAGTGCCAGCTACATGGCACATAGCGTCCTGCTTGCAGATTGGCACTGCCCGGTATAAAGCTTATAGAATACTTCCGTTCCTTGTGGCTTGCATTTCCTGTTGAATGGTCCTTCCATTTGTTTGTTTTCTTTGTAGAATTGCAATGCCACATAAATAACCTCCACTATCGTTTTCATGTTTAGATGAACACTGCCTATTATATGGCATTAATACAGTTAATGCCACATTCAGGCAAGCCCTGCTTGGTATAAAACAAATGACGTCCTTCCACCCCAGAGAAGTTCGGCACTGCCAGGTACATGGAACCTAAAGTTCTACAGTCCAGAATCAAAGGACCTGTGATCCTTCAAACCAACAGACATCTCACACTGGATGTATGGGAGCTGGCATGGACACTGGTTAAACTCATTCCTACTCAGTATTCACTAACTGGTGAAGTGTTGGGAACTCAATTTAATGAATGTAAACTATTCCCCAGGTCAGCTAGGTTTCATGTAGAATGTAAATTCCTGACAATTCACACTTTATGGGGTTTATCTACCAAACTCCGTATTTAATGAAGTGAATCCCAAACTGCATAATTTATTTTAAAATATCCAAGTTATGATTTTGGCTGAGTTGCAGAATTTTTCCAGATAAGATATTCACTAAAATGTGAATTGTCAGTAATGCAAACAGGGCTTTTCACCAATAACCAACCACAACCAGATTAACTGAATATTTTATTCAAATCAGCTCCAATAACAATTCCCACTGCAGTGAATAACCTGAAGGTGATTCCAGATTTTGGGCCGGAATAGTTGTCTTGCATTATGTGCTGTGTGACAGGAATGAAACAAGACACAGTAACACAGCACACGCTAGTTTAACACATTAAATAATATAATTACACGGCTTAATAAGCAGAGCTGTACCCATTATAATAATTACATAAAGACACAGGACACATAATATTCCAGAGAGTTTATTCAGTCCACAAAGTCTGTCTGTTCAGTGCAGATCACAGCATTGCGGAAACACACGGCCAGGCTCCTATGCGCTCTCATACATGCTAACAAAAGGCAGTTGGAGGCCACAGTGTTAGTTATGGGTTTATCACAATGCTGAAACGTGTCTGTGGACAGATAGGAATGTAACACACTGATCGGAAGACAACATTCAGAAGAGATTAAGGCAGCACTCCTGGAAGGGACCGTAATGTCAGTGAAGTTTCATTCTGTCATCATGATTGCCAGCAATTCAGAAACATCATTAATGGAGATTACAAAACGGGGTGCAGCTTGTACCTGAATGTGATATTCTGACATCTTCAGCAAAATTAGCTTTCCAATGTAACAATGCCTTTCTGTGCTTTTTTTGGCAGGTAATTTATTAGTTAAAATACAGGCCTCTTGTGTAGGTGTAGGACCTTGTATCGATCAAAGGTTAACCGATGCTTGTACCTCCCTGTCCATAGAGAAAGGAGACATAGAGGGCAACACTTTCCTCTGGCACGCAGTGAGTTAACTCCATTCAAACTAAATCTGGACTCCAAATGCACAGCAAATCAGTTGGCGATTAGTAACATACAGTTACTGGTCCTCTCTACTTCACATCTTTTAGACAACTCTCTTCCTGGAAACAAGGTGCCGACAAAGGGTTAACACAAACTATCCAACAAAAAGAGCACACGCATGTCAAAGGCCTTCTCGCTGCCTGGCGTGGGCCAAAGGGCTTTCTGCTTTAAGATCTGAAATGTAAATTAGAAAAAGCTGTATATGGTTTATACAACTCTGCGAAATAAAACAAACGTGACCTAATACTGACTGTCCGGTGCTGTAAGAGTTAATGAGTAGTCTGTTACTGCAGGTACAGAGTAAAGCACAAGCGGCAGAATCCTGAGTACTCCAGTCTCCGACGTGCAGAAATAAGATGGTAAAATGATTAATACTGAGCAGACTCCACAACGCTACAAGTCTCCCAGCCTGCAAGAAGATCCACACGCAGGCTGCCAGGAAGTTGGTGCAGTTAGCTGGGCACTGTCTGAGTCCTCCCATCCAATAACACCAGTTTAGTATTTAAAGCCCCGAGTCTGAGCTCTTCCACAGCGGACTGTTATAGACCCATCCATCGCCCTGCCGGGTAATAAACAGAAAATACTGCAATTATCTGCATGAAAGACATGGGATCTATAGTTTGCCTTGACCACTTCTTGGTTTGTAATAGTTTAATACATTTAACAGTCTTTAATTATTTTTATTAATGGAAATGTTTATTAAATATTGTAACATGTCATTTAATACAGTAAAAACAATAAAATGTAGCAAACATATAATGACGAATATTCATTTTTTTAAGAATATGTAGCTTTATCTGTCTCAGTAGCCATGTTGGGTCAGACTCCACTCCTAGGATGATCATCTTTACCTGATTGTAGCGGATGGCATTGGGCTGTCCTCAAAATTATGTATATTCCTATGTGTTCGGTTAAATTGTGCCATGTGTATGTGAAGTGTATGCAGCATTTGCCTGATTGTTCGGTAAAATCACTCTGATTATTATGCGAGTGAAACTACCGAACAATCAGATCACCCCAGGAGTAAGTGTGCCTTCAATTACCGTTCGCAACAATGTTGCAAATGGGTAATTGGCAATTCGTGTAGTGTGTTCTTTGTCCTCTGGGTGGCCACCATTCGGGAGACGAACACGTGGCCGTGGCCATTTTTTTTTTATTTTTAATTCTTTATTTTTGCAACGGTATGGAGTAGACAATGCAAAGGGTTTGGCTCGTGCAAGAGCGTTTCAATAGTACATAAACATGCCAGGTACATATGAAGAGTTTTAACATCTCTACTTTCATCCGTCGTTGTTGTTGGTATTATTGTTTCAACAAGAACAGTGTGTACAAAAAGAACAAAAACAGATAATAACTGAACTGTGGGCCGGGATACCGGTCATCTCGGTCCAAACAGTCGTGGTCTGGGTGGGGGGAGAGAAGTTGAGGTAAAGTGGGGAGGGGGAAGGGGGGGGGGTTACTGCAGTCTATCGTTCGCGTTTGCGACTCCTTTCTGCTACATGGTCTTTATTGGTCTTACTGGTCATTATAGGTCTCCCACGGTTCCCACGTCTTAGTAAAAGCTTTGGTTGTGCCCCTAATTTGGGCCGTGAGTTTGTCCATTAAGTGGCATTCTTTGATTTTGTTAATCACTATTGCTACTGAGGGGGTGTCCTGCTGTAGCCAGATCTGGGCTACCGCTCTCCTGGCCGCTAAGGTTATTTTGTTAAACAGATGCTGGTTTGGTTTAGACCAATTCTCCTGAGGTCTGGCCAGTAGGAACGTCCATGGGTTCAACGTCACTGGTCTATCAAATATTTGGGTCATGAGGGTTTGAATGGCCGTCCAGTAAATTTTAATCTTAGGGCAGTGCCACCACATATGGGTATACGTCCCTCTCTCCCCGCAATTGCGCCAACAGAGGTCTGTGGGTGTTTTTTTCATGTGGTATAGCTGAACAGGGGTGGTATACCACCTGAACATCGTTTTGTAGGCCTGCTCTTGCATCGTGACGCAAATAGAGGTTTTAGCAGTGGCCTGCCATATGTCCTGCCAGTCTATCCCCTCTAATGTTTCCCCAAGGTCGGTTTCCCACTTGTCTGTGTAGTGGAGGGCGCCCCAATCCCGTGTAGTGGAGCAGAGATGGGAGTACAAGAGGGAGATCAATCCCTTTTGGTAGCGTTCGGCCAGGCATATGTTTTCAAAGAATGTTGGTTTAGCTAGTGCAGCTCTTTTAACAGATTCTTGGGTAGCATAGTGTCTTAGCTGTAGGTACCTAAAGAAATCTGCGGGGGTTAGGGTTGTTCTGGTTTGTAATTCAGCGAAGGTGATTATGTCGTGACCTGTGTAGAGTTGATGAATTCTTTGTAGGTCTGCATTTTCCAGGCCTTTGAAATCTCTGGGTCTCATGCCTGGAATAAATGCCCTATTTCTGTATATGGGGGTGAGGGGGGAGGACGATGTTGTTAGTTCGTATTTTGTGGCATATTTGTCCCAGATGTGAATCGAATTTGTAATAGCTGGGCAGGTAGTCCTTAAAAGTGCTCTGTGCTCTTTCGGGGTCCATATGTAAAACTGAGGAAGGTCCGGGCGGTGGCCATTTTAAACTCCCGAACAGCTGTGTTTTGCCGTCGAGTGTCTGGATCCCAAATCGGACAGTCAGTTAGGCAAACACTGCTGAGACCTACACACTGCCGCCAATTTGTGTAAAAACTACCGAACGGCTCCCCGTTCGGTAGAAAGAACCCCACGAACAATGGGATTTACCCGAATCCTCCCCAGCTCTCATAACCCAACCCATTCATGTGTTTCCTTCCCTTTTCTGTGACCAACCGCAGGGCCAAAATACATGGAACACTTTTCGGCTGTTAACCCCAGCGCGGTCGGTCTTTTTAATACCTCCAGGAATTTCCCGAACCCCTGGTCTGATCTGGGTGATTTTTGGATATGTGTCTCACCCAGGTAAGGGCTACCAGGGGATGTAATATTTAAAGGGGTACTCCTAGGTCTAGGGGTACATCCAGAAAACAAGGGGAACTGTGTCCTGCATAATGGGATTATGTGTCATCCTAAGGGGAGGGGATGTGTGGGTGGCAACTCGTGTATGATTGGTGTATTGTGTAATTACTGTAAATCCCTCCCTTGCATGGGAGAATGCTTTAAAAGAAGGCTGTGTGATTAAAGGTTCAGTTCTGCTCCTGATGCTGTGTGTCGTCCAGTCATTAGGATTGCTGTTGGGATATTGTTGGATTGTTTTGCCTGCTGGAATTATTGCCTTATGGATTTCTAATACTTGTTCCTGAGCCTCACTGGGATCTTAAGTGGAGAAAACCTGTGGAATATCAGCTCTCCACTACACTGATTATAGCAGCAGTCATGAACTGGAAACTCACTAGGGGGGCGCCACGTTAACAGCATGCACAGCCAAGGGTGAAAGAAGGCCAGTTTCATTTACAGGGGGCACAATGTTAGCCGTTGGTGGGCTGAGTTTCCCTATTGGAGTAACAGTGCTAAACAGCATATCCTCTGATCCTCAGCCCGTGACTTATTGCGGAGTGTCCATTTTGACTCGGACACGATTATGGTGTGCACTGGAAATATAAAGTCTGCTTACAATAGTTGGTGTCTATTCGATGTCCGCTGTGATACTGTGAGTCATTATATTGAATTCAGGGCTTTGTGGCGCAGTATGTGAGGATGACTGCACCAATCTTAAGCTCCTGTCTGGCGGTTCCCTCTGTACAGTCAGACTTACCTCCTTCATGAAATACTTGGTTTCCCATGAAGTCTCTGTTTCTACCCGCAGCCGTTCCTCCGCTCGCTGGCGTTCCTCTAGAGCTCTCTTGTGTTCAGTTGCTTTCTCAATGTTTTTTTCCTTTAAAGCTTCTGTAACGTGGGTCCAAAGCCGCCTGGAGACACAGGAAGCAGTGATCACATATGTGCTTATAATGTAAAAAGAAATATATATCTGTCTCTCTGTATAGCACCATACCAGCAATTGCCTACAGGAAGCATTATGGGATAATGTGTTTTTCAGACTTCATGCATGTGAAGACCTAGACGGCTTTGAGGCTATATTTCTTAAAGCCCTCTCCTTCCTCAATAGCAGTTGGTTGTGATGCTGGCTGAGTTTAAAATAAGACTTTGTTGACATTTTGACATTCCTAAACTCTAGTTTCTATTTCGCTTTGTTACATGGATGGGCAGGCCATCTCCTGATATCCCACATCCACCCTCACAAGTCTGTTGCCACTATGACTCTAGCTCACTGGATGTAGCCATCCCTAGCGTCTGGACATCTTTGGTGGCACAATCTGTTAGAGGCACAGACGCCTCCCTTTCCGACATTTTACATTCAGCAGGTTGGACCGGCGAGGATACTCTTCAGACATTTTATTTTAAACCTACCACTTGAGCTTCTTTTTGTTTTGTATTCTCTTGTTAAAACAGCAATATAAGAAGCCTCGTGTCTTGTGGTAAAATTGTAGATTACGCTAGCTTTAGTGTACAATAATCTTACTCTAAGCAATGACGGAAGGCGCACCGCTTTCCTCCTCCCCTCCCCCGGTTAGGTTACCTTTGCCGTGTTTATTTCTTGATCCTCTTATCTTTCTTCCCAGATGCTGGTGGTTTATTTGCTACATGCTATTTATTCTTGATATGTTTTGTACAGTTTTTTCTTTATTGCTAGTTTATTATGTTTTTGGTTATGGATTATTTTAATTGCAATGTTACTACGTGATGTCACTTGTCTGATGTTTATTGGGATAATGGTTCATTTTGAGATACCTTTCACGTGTTTCTCCATTGTTTCAGCTTAACGATCAAAACCTAACACACCTGGACTCAAAGAGGCCTTGCTTGTCCACAGGACGCACTCTCTTCCGCGTAACTCCAAGTTTCGTGAGGTCCACACATTTCGTTTCTCCATTGCTGTGCATGAATTCCAATACGCTGTTCCACTCTCCCTGGATTTTACAAACCACGGAGTTTGAAGCGTTGTGTTTTACTTCGCCGGTCACCCTAAAGAAAATGTGAATTGTCTATCAAAAGAGTAACATACATTTATACAACATGACAGCACAAATGAATAGCCATGATCTCAATATGTAATAGAATTACGTTTTAATTGCTACACACATGTAAACAGAGCCATATAGAGACACGAGACTTCGCAAGCACCAATAACCTATGCTCTGCCGCTCACAGTTGGTATAAGGAGTACCGGTCCCTGTCGCCAATATAAGCAAGTGCTTATAATAGCGATTTGCAAATATCAAACTGCAAGCAGTCTGATGGAAACAAATTGTTTTACATATGCAGTGCTTAGTGAATATTCCCCTAGGCATACATAGATATATATTTTATGTTACATGGTGTCAGTCTCGTGTCCTGCTTTCTACTTCTGTAATATCGCATACATAGATTGAAAGACCAAATGGTCAGTGTGCCTGATTATAATACAAGATACTCATTTGAAAGGGTTAACCTCGCATTTTTTTAAACACACAATATTTTTCTGTTCTTGTGCCTGACACCAGCTTTCGCTATCTTTCATAAATATCCTAAACTTAAAAAAAAAAAAAAAAGCATTCTTTCTAGCACCTGCAATTTGTAATTGGGTCCCTAAATCAAAGACTGTCATGTGCATCAGTTAACAGGAGACTAACTAAGAGCATTACGATATGTTATATGAAACATTATAATTTTGGTTCTGAGACTCTTATGATTGGTTAATGTTTCTGTTGATGTATACACCCCTAGACAAACTGTGTTTTATATAATACAATGTATTACGCATTAAACCTCGAATGCTTATTGATAATCCATCTGAATTGGTGTGACTTCTTTGAGTATTCCCAGGGGCTGTGTTTACACAGAGACAAGGAAAGCAGAAATGTGTTAGTGCATAAGTCCATGGCAGAGTAAGGGTTTCCAGTCCAACACAGTATGACTGTTATCTCACAGACAAAGTAAGAATCTATGTCTCCTTCCTTGGACCTGTTCAGGCCCCCAACCTCTGTGCCCCTTATGCCCATGTATAGGCAGAAACACATGCTGTGCAGAGTCCCATTCACTGAACTGTGAACAGGTCAAACAGGCTGATAGCAGCCACTAGAAGTTCATTCACCTTGGAACAGCGTCTGGCGCTAATCTCAGTTTCAGTGCTGTATCCAGGACTTGTTTTTATAGATCTATTGTTTAACCTATGGACTAAGCTTTGAATGGAAAAACGTAGATCAGTAAATCTCGTGAAACGCACAGGTAACTTACAATAAGCAAGTCTGCAGCATTCACCATGCAAACCAGAGAATTGTCCCTACTAATTGCAACATTTTTAGAACTTTGTGCCATAATTTCTCTTTATATATATATATAAAAAAAAAACATTAAATGTGAGATATGATACAATCAGTGTATACTCTCTATTTAAGGTAACGATACAATCAGTGTATACTCTGCATTTAAGGTAACGATACAATCAGTGTATACTCTATATTTAAGGTAACGATACAATCAGTGTATACTCTATATTTAAGGTAACGATACAATCAGTGTATACTCTGCAGTTAAGGTAATGATACAATCAGTGTATACACTGCATTTAAGGTAACGATACAATCAATGTATACTCTATATTTAAGGTAACGATACAATCAGTGTATACTCTGCAGTTAAGGTAACGATACAATCAGTGTATACTCTGCAGTTAAGGTAACGATACAATCAGTGTATACTCTATATTTAAGGTAACGATACAATCAGTGTATACTCTGCAGTTAAGGTAACGATACAATCAGTGTATACTCTCTATTTAAGGTAACGATACAATCAGTGTATACTCTATATTTAAGGTAACGATACAATCAGTGTATACTCTGCAGTTAAGGTAACAATACAATCAATGTATACTCTATATTTAAGGTAACGATACAATCAGTGTATACTCTGCAGTTAAGGTAACGATACAATCAGTGTATACTCTCTATATAAGGAAAGGAACTGATAAGCAATAGTGTGATGCCCAGTGATGTCTCCTACCTGTGTAACTTGCCTCCATAAAACGGTTTGGTGTGGAAAGTGATGGCTGCTGAGTAACCAGACTTTGCGCAGTTCACATTAACCTTTCCTCCAAGTTCCACCCATGGCACAGTAAGTATCGAACGAGCATACGCACAAGGCAAGGTAAAAGTATATTCTTCACTGTGCTCCAAGAGATGCAACACACCTTGGGAAAGATCAATATATTAACTCTCTCCTGTCCTTGTATCATTCGTATATCAGAATTATATTACATCCGCAGCAAGGGCGATATATTAACTCTCTCCTCCCTGTGTATCATTCGTATATCAGAATTATATTACATCTGCAGAACGGGCGATATATTAACTCTCTCCTGTCCTTGTATCATTCGTATATCAGAATTATATTACACCTGCAAAACGGGCGATATAGTAACTCTCTCCTGCCTGTGTATCATTCGTATATCAGAATTATATTACACCTGCAGAACGGGCGATATATTAACTCTCTCCTGTCCTTGTATCATTCGTATATCAGAATTATATTACATCTGCAGAACGGGCGATATATTAACTCTCTCCTCCCTGTGTATCATTCGTATATCAGAATTATATTACACCTGAAGAACGGGCGATATTTTAACTCTCTCCTGCCTGTGTATCATTCGTATATCAGAATTTTATCAGTCCGCTTTCTATCCTGTTGTGCTAGCTCCATACTAGCCTACATAGTGACCAATCTGACCTCCAACTACATGCCCATTCTCACGTGAATTACCTTCTCCAATCATAGTAACTCCAATCGACATGCCCATGAACTTGCTTTTCGTCCACACGTGGGTATTGACACACATTTTGCGTTCTGGGCACTCGGCATAGAATCCTGATACAGGAGGGTGGTGAGATACTTGTTCAGCCACGAATCTGACTGTATAAAAGTCCTTCTCATTTGCCTCTGTTACTTCATCATGTGCATTAGGTGGATGATCTGCGGGTTTTGGGGTGCAGAGAGTGTCTTTTGGGACTTGCCACGAACAGTGAAAGGTTTCTCCAATAATGGGGTTATATGGTTTCTTGGCCAGAGCACCCTTGCGGCCCTCATGAAACGAGGTGAGGTAATACTCAACAAATCTCACCATGCGCTCCTCGGCAGTTTGACCGGTGCTGATGGACAGGAAGAGGTCAGGGTGAGACAGAAAGTCTGCATACATTTCCAATAAGGAACGCTTCTCTAAGATGAATGTAGGGAGGACAACCTGAAAAAGGAAATAAACCCTCAATACACGGCAGCAGATACAGCACATATTCTAAGAATAGACGTTCCAGGCTGTTTTATGTCTCCATATGTGCTGAGAATGGAGTGGATTAACTATGATCCAGAAATTAGTTCAAAGTTAATATTCAAAAGGTTCTACATTCCTATTATGATTGCAACATTTCAGCATGACATTTTGGTTAAATATGAACTATTTAAAAATCTCCACACCAAGGAAAACTATTGGGAAAGTTTGTGTTTCGGTGGCGTACAACAAGGATAAAATGCAGGTATTACACAAATAAACCCAGGTATAAAGGAACAGCCTGATCTTTAATGTAATGTGAGCCAATGAGTTGCCTAAAGGGTTGGATTCCTTCCCAATAAATATTCAGTATCACTGGCGTTATTGATAATGTCCTGTGACTGTGTGGTAGGAAGACAAAGATCAGCTAGTCAGATAGGCTTGCTTACCCTTGTGAGGTCCATACCCAGCTTGAGCTGGGATAGGAGGTGTAAGATGACGCTTCGTTGCTCCTCTACTGCGCCAAGATCATCCTCGGTTAGCTCACTGTCATCCTCCAGCTCATCGTCTGGGTCTATGTCCTCTGGTTCCTGTAGGTAGGTTAGTTAGAGACAGGGCCGGTGCAAGGAATTTTGGCTACACAGGCAAAGATGCATTTGTCCCCCCCCCCCCGAAAATAAAATATTGTCTTCACCTGTGTGTCTTGTGACCTCCATTTTGAATTTCTTATCCTCTTTAGCGTATTTTATCCCCCTGTACTATGTCTTACATCCTCTTGTGTGTCTCTTACAACTTCCCTTGTGTATCTCTTACTTTCCCCAGCCCCTTTGTGTGTCTCTTTCTTTCCTCCAGCCCCTTTCTGTGGCTTTCTCCCCTCAGTCTGTTTTGTGTGTCACTTCCCCCCATGCCTAATAGACATAGATATATAGCAACATAGAGCCATATAGGCACACAGTCACAGAGATATGCAGGCATACAATCAAACAAACACAGTCATAGAGGCACACAGTCAATCTACACATACAAGTATGTCATACAAACACAGACATACAGACATTTAGACACTGTCATAGAAAGATATACAGACACAGACATACAGAGATATACAGACACAGACAGTCTTATAGTCATACAGAGCAGAGGTCTGTGAAAACGTAGGAGGTGTAGTGGGGTGATATTGTTGTAGTAGGGGAGTTAGGGGCTGTGGTGGAGGGGACAGGGGCTGTAGGGAGGCAGTGCATGTAGAGGGGTGAGGAAGGGGCTGTAGTAAGGGGTGCAAGGGCTGTGGTGAGGGGCGCAAGGGCTGAGGGGGGGGGGCTGTGAGGGGGAGAGTGAGGTAAGTTGATGCGCCGGCCCTGGTTAGAGAATAGGTACATAAGTGGTTCTGAATCTGCTCATATATTCACACATTGCTGGGAGAAGAAAGATGAATGACACGTGCTAAAGATGAGAGGTAGAGGACAAGAGATAAAGATGAGAGGCACATGACAAGGGGTAAAGTATACAAAAAAAGGGAGAAAAATGATAATGGAAGAAAGATGGATAATAATGAGGGAAAGAGGAGAGAGGTGTATGATAATAAAGGGAAGAGAGTCAGCAGAGAGAGTTGATGCTGATGCTCTCTCTGCTGAATTAAGGGAGGAGGAGAGAGGTGTATGATAATAAAGGGAAGAGAAGAGAGGCGTATGATAATAAAAGGAGGAGGAGAGAGGTGTGTGATAAAGGGAGGAGGAGAGAGGTGTGTGATAATAAAGAGAGGGGGAGAGAGGTGTATGATAATAAAGGGAAGAGAAGAGAGGTGTATGATAATAAAGGGAAGAGAAGAGAGGTGTATGATAATAAAGGGAAGAGAAGAGAGGTGTATGATAAAGGGAGGAGGAGAGAGGTGTGTGATAAAGGGAGGAGGAGAGAGGTTGTGATAAAGGGAGGAGGAGAGAGGTGTGTGATAAAGGGAGGAGGAGAGAGGTGCATGATAATAAAAGGAGGCGGAGAGAGGTGTATGATAATAAAGGGAAGAGAAGAGAGGTGTATGATAAAGGGAGGAGGAGAGAGGTGTGTGATAATAAAGAGAGGAGGAGAGAGGTGTATGATAATAAAGGGAAGAGAGGAAAGAGGTGTATGATAATAAAGGGAGGAGAGGAGAGAGGTGTATGATAATAAAGGGAAGAGAGGAGAGAGGTGTATAATAATAAAGGGAGGAGAGGAGAGAGGTGTATGATAATAAAGGGAAGAGAGGAGAGAGGTATATGATCATGAGGGGAAAAGAAAAGACATGGACAATAACGAGGGGAATAGGAGAGAAGTGGATAATAATGAGGGGAATAGGAGAGAAGTGGATAAAAATTAGGGAAATGGGAGAGAAGTGTATAATAAGTAGGGGACAAGAAGAGACCTGGATAATAATGAAGGTAAAAGGGGAGAGATATGGAAAGGCAGATAACAATGGGGCGAGGACAGAGGTGTAAAATAAGGAGGGGAAGAGGAGAGGTGGATATTAATTCAAGGGGCGAGTAAATGTACTGTCCAATAAAGTAAGATGAGCAGCATACAAGAGAGGAGTTAATTGCACACAATCACAGCCCCGAGAAATAACCGTAACTGATCAGCAGCAGTGGGGCCCGGGACAGGTACGGCCTGACACTGTATGGTTATCCAGGTTATTGGTCTATGGCTTCCTGACAATATGCTGCCTTAGTTACCAATGACAGATAGGTTAGTGCTTGTTACATATAATACAATATATTATACACATTAAATACATTTAAACTAAGCCTTCCTCCCTGCTAATAAACACAGGTCACTGCGGGATCCCTGGTTCTGCTGGGGTATTAAAATGATCCCTTGCAGATATCACTGTGTACTGGAGGAAGGAAACGTCACTGCTGATCACAGCTTCAAACTCATCAGGTTAAACCAGTTGGGGATCGGCCTCAAAAGAAATATGCTATAAATATCTGCAGCAGACAAGATGAGTATGGGGTCTGGCATCAAACACCTAGCCAGCGTGCAACATTTAACCTCTTCAGCGCTGAGCTAAAGACGTTATCAAGAGAGAAAGTATATAACACTGCAAAGCAATCACCAAGAACCACAATGAGAATGAAAGGGTGTTCTTTCCATGGTAATGGCTTAATGATGGGTAATAACGATTAGGGTGATCCTGATTGTGGACGCACACCTTGCACACTAGCCAGTCTGTGCTACATACCATGTAAACGCTGAATGAGCTAGCAGCGAGGAGGTAAGTGTTCATTCAGCAGGGAAGTATTTTGAGAAGCTGGCAATCGTTTCTATAGACAAAGTCCAGACTCAGGCGGTGACCTTACCCTGGTCATCTGGATGCTTTGGGACACGCTGGGCACTTCAGTCAGCAAGTCCTGCTCCTTGTCGGTCTCGGCGTAGAAACCCGTGTCATCTCCATTCTTTAGGTGGTTGGACAGCGTGATCCTCGGTTCCAGCCAGTTAATGGTTCCTGAAGACATAGGAACATTGCACTTAAATCTGCTCATAATCCAGAGAAGACAGGACTAAGTGTGATATCTGCTATTGGCAGGCAGGGTACTCGGTATTGTCAGAGGGGTACAGGGACGATTAGGGTATTTTTCTATAATTCTTTAGACAGCTGAAGAAATGAGTAGAGATATATTCGGTTTGGATACTTCACTTCACCGAGGGCAGCACCTTATTCTGTCATTAGCATGCTACGAGCTGACTGGCTGTACCTGTCAGTATATCAAGAGAACCTGATACGGGAGGTGTCAACTAACACGGAAAGTTAAAGAACTAAACTGCTTCAGGAAATGGCAAAGACAAACAAACATCGCTAAGGAGGGGACTGAGGCAAGGAGCTCAGTTGCCCAAATACGTCAGGTCAAGGAGATATATTCCCCCCACCCCCAATTTAAAGCACCTGGAACTGTGAGCACTCATACAACTTAACAAAACCATAACTACCTCCAAAATGATCCGTCTAAACAGACTGTTGTGCAATCCCTCCATTAATTATTCAGAGATGCTATTTGCAGGCTCTGGAGGAGACTAAATAGCCAGACATGAAGCTAGTGGAGTGTGGAGGCCTCTTGTTTAATATGGACATTTATTCAGCTAACAGTGAAAGCTGTTCAGACTATGGAATATATAACAAGTCTGAATAGTAATACCTGCAGCTGGAAAGCTAAGAAATGATTCTTATTAGTGACGAAGTGAAACAGTTCCATTTAAAGCAGGAATTGCATTTCGGATATAAATCTATCATAATGCTCACCTGGCGGCAGGATATGCTTGCTGAATGCAGCGTGCTGTTGGTGTAGCATGTGGAAGCAATCATTCAGACAGTTCATTGTAGCCATGGACGTGGCTTTAAGCATCAGGAGATCCTGGTCTAGGGCGCTTAGTTGACCAGAGGAAGGGAGGCCCTCAATACTGCGCATCAACTCTCTCTGCTGACTCTCGGCCCGCGTCATCATCTGGAAACAGAGGAGACAGCAGTGAAAGGGCAAGTGGTCCAGAGGATGTGGCAAGATGGGATAATGCAGGGGAAACAGGACCAGAAGACAGAGGCAAGATGAGATGGGGCAAGAGGGGAGCCGGAACAGATGACAGGGTGAACTTGAGATGGGGCAAGAGGGGAGCCAGATCAGAGGACATAGGAAACAATACTAGAAACATAGAATGTGACGGCAGATAAGAACCATTCGGCCCATCTAGTCTGCCCAATTTTCTAAATACTTTCATTAGTCCCTAGCCTTATCTTATAGTTAGGATAGCCTTATGCCTATTCCACACATGCTTAAACAGTACTAGTTACAGCACGCACAGCCTGCACACAGTACTAGTTACAGCACGCACAGCCTGCACACAGTACTAGTTACAGCACGCACAGCCTGCACACAGTACTAGTTACAGCACGCACAGCCTGCACACAGTACTAGTTACAGCACGCACAGCCTGCACACAGTACTAGTTACAGCACACACAGCCTGCACACAGTACTAGTTACAGCACACACAGCCTGCACACAGTACTAGTTACAGCACACACAGCCTGCACACCGTACTAGTTACAGCACACACAGCCTGCACACAGTACTAGTTACTGCACACACAGCCTGCACACAGTACTAGTTACTGCACACACAGCCTGCATACAGTACTAGTTACAGCACACACAGCCTGCATACAGTACTAGTTACAGCACACACAGCCTGCATACAGTACTAGTTACAGCACACACAGCCTGCATACAGTACTAGTTACAGCACACACAGCCTGCATACAGTACTAGTTACAGCACACACAGCCTGCACACAGTACTAGTTACAGCACACACAGCCTGCACACAGTACTAGTTACAGCACGCACAGCCTGCACACAGTACTAGTTACAGCACGCACAGCCTGCATACAGTACTAGTTACAGCACACACAGCCTGCATACAGTACTAGTTACAGCACACACAGCCTGCATACAGTACTAGTTACAGCACACACAGCCTGCATACAGTACTAGTTACAGCACACACAGCCTGCATAGAGTACTAGTTATAGCACACACAGCCTGCATACAGTACTAGTTACAGCACAGAGCCTGCACACAGTACTAGTTACAGCACACAGTCTGCATACAGTACTAGTTACAGCACAGAGCCTGCACACAGTACTAGTTACAGCACACACAGCCTGCACACAGTACTAGTTACAGCACAGAGAGCCTGCATACAGTACTAGTTACAGCACACAGAGCCTGTATACAGTACTAGTTACAGCACACAGAGCCTGCATACAGTACTAGTTACAGCACACAGAGCCTGCATACAGTACTAGTTACAGCACACAGAGCCTGCATACAGTACTAGTTACAGCACACAGAGCCTGCATACAGTACTATTTATATCACACACTGCCTGCATCATTCACATATTATTGCCCATAAAAAACAGGCGAGCTGCTCGGAATGGGGGGTGGATCACCTACTAGTCACCTTTAACTCGCCTATATTTCTAGGTCAGTATGGGGTTTTATTTCAGGATCACTGTGCATCTAAGCAGAACATCGGCCAGATCAGGTCTACAGAACAGACTTTCCATAGCACTTAGTAAGGTATCCCTGAGAGAGATCATGTGATAGGGCTGGATGGAGCTCTTTCTGTACAGCAGCTTCGGTTTCCCTTACAGCCTGCTTCACACATGCCCATAATGTGTTTTATATGTTAAAACATTTCTTACGTTAAGCACCCAGTCAAATTACATGCACGTTAAGGGAACACATCACATCTAACACTATTCAGTAGATATACATGCATGCATTGTTATGTTCGCTTTAGGGTTATGTGGGAAAAAAACAGCATTCAAATGCTGCGGGTCAGGTGTCTGCAGCATTTAGTCTGTGCTGTATACATGATGTGTGGTCTCCTTGATAGACTTCTGAATGAGCTATAACACAACTCACTAAGTAGTGAAGCCTGGAAGTGAAAGCAAGGAAGCACAGACAGACAGACACACACACTGAGCTCTGTGTGCACATGCTCAGTAAAACTCGAATACGTTTGTATACATGAGCAGCGGAAAACTCCAGTCTACAAATTTAAATATTTGCCTTATTTTTTTTAAACTTGTTTTGCACTTTTTCCATATATTAAATTCATCAAGCTAAAACGAGGTAGTCAATTACAAAGACATTTTCTGGGACTAAAGAACTCTCTACTATGTCTGTCCTGCAAACCATTCAGAATTTCTTTAACTTATGAATTAAAAAAAAAAAAAAAAACCTGCACAAAATATAACAAGTGCAAACCTGGAGAGACATTTGCTTATAATCAGATGTATAGAGGACATGCAAATGGTGTGCCAAGTGAACAAATGATGGAGACGGATTTGAGGATATCGGATTGTCACTGACCTCTCGGACATCTCCCAGGTGGTCCTGCGGCAGGACCTGGGCACGTCTGTTAATGTGAGAAGCTCTGTGATGGCCAAGGTTGAAAAAGGAAGCTGCGTTTTGGCTGGGCCGGCGCTGTGAGTTTGGAGAGTTTCCGCTGCCTTGAGATGCCAGAGAGAAACTGCGTGACTTCAGAGGAGGATTATTCTGCCGGAGAAATCAAACACAAGGGGTGAGTGAACAAGCAAACCAAATTTTAAAAAAAGACATCGCCCACTAAAGACCAATGGAAATTAGTATCACACGACCACAATGGGTAGAATATACAGCGTTGGTTATAAAGGCCTTAATTTAATATTCTTGGGTGAACTACTAAAATAGGCCGCTCATATTATCTTGTGAGTATACTACATGGTAAGGGGGGGCTAGTGAGAGGGGACTTTCAGGCATTTAGTACATCATTTCTTATTTTATATCTGTTTTTATCAATTATTTTATTTTTGTCTGCACTTCCAATAAACATGTCACCATAGAAGCCCTCTATTGTCCGTTTTGTGCTTTAAAGGAGTGTATTGCTGTGCCTGCCTTTTCTACGGAGGGCTGCGCGTGTGAAGAATAAAACATGAACCATATTTCTTGGCTTCACTCACCTTCCCAATAGCCTCAGTATGGTGCTGTGTGCAAATCTGAAGCCGGCTCACCCAATGCTGCCGCTCTTTGGCATCCGAGGCTGGAATGAGGACAGAGAGACAATATATCCTCCAACCTTCTCTACTGATAGAAGAGCAATTATACATCAAGAGCCTTGCATTTTGCTTCCATGGAGACTGCTCCATCTAACCTGTGCAAAGCTTTCTCTGAATCAAGCACCAGCTACATCCTGGATAATATATCCTGCTAAGGCTAGCAGTGTCAGCCCTAAACTATATTAGTCTTTACCACCTCTGCGGGAGGGTCATTCCATGCACTCACTGCATTAGTCTCTACCACCTCTGCTGGAAGGATATTCCATGCACTCACTGCATTAGTCTTTACCACCTCTGCTGGAAGAATATTCCATGCACTCACTGCATTAGTCTCTACCACCTCTGCTGGAAGGCTATTCCATGCACCGACTGTATTAATCTCTACCACCTCTGCTGGAAGGCCTTTCCATGCACTCACTGTATTAGCTTCTACCACCTCCGCTGGAAGGCTATTCCATGCACTCACTGTATAAGTCTCTACCATCTCCGCTGGAAGGCTATTCCATGCACTCACTGTATAAGTCTCTACCATCTCCGCTGGAAGGCTATTCCATGCACTCACTGTATTAGTCTCTACCACCTCTGCTGGAAGGCCATTCCATGCACTCACTGTATTAGTCTCTACCACCTCTGCTGGAAGGCTTTTCCACTCTACAGTGAGTGATGGTCTTTAATTACCCTACCACAGGTCTTCTGCCAGACTTCACACAGTGAGGTTTCTCCCATAGGTCAGAGTGCACACAGTGAGTTTACCAATCTCCCATAGGTCAGAGTGCACACAGTGAGTTTACCAATCTCCCATAGGTCAGAGTGCACACAGTGAGTTTACCAATCTCCCATAGGTCAGAGTGCACACAGTGTGTTTACCAATCTCCCATAGGTCAGAGTGCACACAGTGAGTTTACCAATCTCCCATAGGTCAGAGTGCCCACCTCTGAGCTTGTATAGCTCCCCGCTGGCAGCATTCACAGTGAACGTATGAGAATCTTCATCACTGGGGGAAATCACTGCTCCTGCTAGCTGAACTGTACCCCGCGGCTTCTGATTCCTTGACTGCTCATTAACAAAATATTCCAGCAGTCCCGCTTCATTATTCAAAACGAAAAATCTGATGGGAGATAAGAATTCATGGTCAGTCAGTTTAACCCCTTAAGGACCAAACTTCTGGAATAAAAGGGAATCATGACATGTCACACATGTCATGTGTCCTTAAGGGGTTAAAGGTAGCCCCTAAGTCACAGAACCCCAGAAAATCATCATTAAGTGATAGAACTCCCCCTGGTGGAATATATGTGAGCTTGTGGACCGTGCATTATACATTGAATTTAATTCAAGGGACACTATAGTCACCAAAACAAGTTTAGCTTAATGAAGCAGTTTTGGTGTATAGATCATGATCCTGCAGTCTCACTGCTCAGTTGGTTTTGTACCAAAGTCGCAGCCTTCATAAATACTTCCTGTACAGAGTGATCTAATGTTTGCACTTCCTGTATTGCAAATTCCCTTTACTTTATAAATTCTTATCTCCTGCACTATTAATAGCTTGCTAGACCCTGCAGGAGCATCTTGTATGTAATTGATGTTCGATTTACAGAGCAGGAGATAAACTTTTAATGTAAGTAACCTCTGAAAATTAAACCATCTTGTTTTCATGCAGGCTGTGTCAGTCACAGCCAGGGGAGGTGTGGCTAGGAGAGCATAAACAGAAACAAAGTGATTTAACTCCTAAATGGCAGATAATTGAGCAGTGAAATCCGAGAGGCATGATCTATACACCAAAACTGCTCCATTAAGCTAAAGTTGTTTTGGTGACTATAGTGTCCCTTTAACCCCTTAAAGACACATGACATGTCTGACATGTCATGATTCCCTTTTATTCCAGAAGTTTGGTCCTCAAGGGGTTAACCTATTGGACTAGTTATATCTTGGCTGTTAGGTAACACTGATACTCTGATAGTAAGATTTGCTCCTGTAGTTTCTGAAAATGTTGGACATAAATTGCAGCTTAATTAAGTTTTTTAACACCTCTGCTTGCAACTACAGATGTAGCTGGGAAAACAAACAAAAAAACAAAAACACAATTCTAAAAAAACCCTGGTAAACAAAAAAAGGAAAAAACAAAAAGGAAAAAAAAAACAAAAACTGACAGACAAGAAAATGTACGGGAACTAACAAATACACAAAGGAAATATACAGAAACTATCAAATAAATAGAGGAAATGTACGGGAACTAACAAATACACAAAGGAAATATACAGAAACTATTAAATAAATAGAGGAAATGTACGGGAACTAACAAACACACAAAGGAAATACACAGAAACTATCAAATAAATAGAGGAAATGTACGGGAACTAACAAAGACACAAAGGAAATATACAGAAACTATCAAATAAATAGAGGAAATGTACGGGAACTAACAAACACACAAAGGAAATATACAGAAACTATCAAATAAATAGAGGAAATGTACGGGAACTAACAAACACACAAAGGAAATATACAGAAACTATCAAATAAATATAGGAAATGACGGGGAAATGTACGGGAACTAACAAACACACAAAGGAAATATACAGAAACTATCAAATAAATAGAGGAAATGTACGGGAACTAACAAACACACAAAGGAAATATACAGAAACTATCAAATAAATAGAGGAAATGTACGGGAACTAACAAACACACAAAGGAAATATACAGAAACTATCAAATAAATAGAGGAAACGTACGGGAACTAACAAACACACAAAGGAAATATACAGAAACTATCAAATAAATAGAGGAAATGTACGGGAACTAACAAATACACAAAGGAAATATACAGAAACTATCAAATAAATAGAGGAAATGTACGGGAACTAACAAACACACAAAGGAAATATACAGAAACTATCAAATAAATAGAGGAAATGTACGGGAACTAACAAACACACAAAGGAAATATACAGAAACTATCAAATAAATAGAGGAAATGTACGGGAACTAACAAATACACAAATGAAATATACAGAAACTATCAAATAAATAGAGGAAACGTACGGGAACTAACAAATACACAAAGGAAATATACAGAAACTATCAAATAAATAGAGGAAACGTACGGGAACTAACAAATACACAAAGGAAATATACAGAAACTATCAAAAAAATAGAGGAAACGTACGGGAACTAACAAATACACAAAGGAAATATACAGAAACTATCAAAAAAATAGAGGAAATGTACGGGAACTAACAAACACACAAAGGAAATACACAGAAACTATCAAATAAATAGAGGAAATGTACGGGAACTAACAAACACACAAAGGAAATATACAGAAACTATCAAATAAATAGAAGAAATGTACGGGAACTAACAAACACACAAAGGAAATATACAGAAACTATCAAATAAATAGAGGAAATGTACGGGAACTAACAAATACACAAAGGAAATATACAGAAACTATCAAATAAAGGAAATGCACAGGAAAGAGCAAATAAATAGAGAAAGTGTACAGAAACTAGCCGGGGGCCGCTCTGTTGCACCTCAGCCAGGGTCACAGCTTATAGTCCAGAAAGGAGCCCTGGACGGGGGTTGGAAATGTACGAGAACAAATAAATAGAGGAAATGTATGGGAACTAGCGAATAAATAAATAAAGGAAATGCACGGGAACTAGCAAATAAATAGAGGAAATGTATGGGAATTAGCAAATAAATAAATAAAGGAAATGCACGGGAACTGGCAAATAGAGGAAATGCACGGGAACTAGCAAATAAATAAAGGAAATGTACGGGAATTAGCAAATAAAAGGAAATGCACGGGAATTAGCAAATAAAAGGAAATGCACGGGAATTAGCAAATAAAAGGAAATGCACGGGAACTAGCAAATAAATAGAGGAAATGTACGGGAACTAGCAAATAAATAAAGGAAATGTACGGGAATCAGCAAATAAATAAATAAAGGAAATGTACGGGAATTAGCAAATAAATAAAGGAAATGTACGGGAATCAGCAAATAAATAAATAAAGGAAATGTACGGGAATCAGCAAATAAATAAATAAAGGAAATGTACGGGAATTAGCAAATAAATAAATAAATAAAGGAAATGTACGGGAATTAGCAAATAAATAAATAAAGGAAATGTACGGGAATTAGCAAATAAATAGAGGAAATGCACGGGAGCTAGCAAATAAATAAAGGAAATGTACGGGAAATGTACGGGAATTAGCAAATAAATAAAGGAAATGTACGGGAATTAGCAAATAAATAAATAAAGGAAATGTACGGGAATTAGCAAATAAATAAATAAAGGAAATGCACGGGAACTAGCAAATAAATAAAGGAAATGCATGGGAACTAGCAAATAAATAAAGGAAATGCATGGGAACTAGCTAATAAATAAAGGAAATGTACGGGAATTAGCACATAAATAGAGGAAATGTACGGGAACTAGCAAATAAATAAAGGAAATGTACGGGAACTAGCAAATAAATAAAGGAAATGTACGGGAATTAGCAAATAAATAGAGGAAATGTACGGGAACTAGCAAATAAATAAAGGAAATGTACGGGAATTAGCAAATAAATAAATAAAGGAAATGCACGGGAACTAGCAAATAAATAGAGGAAATGTACGGGAACTAGCAAATAAATAAAGGAAATGTACGGGAATTAGCAAATAAATAAATAAAGGAAATGTACGGGAATCAGCAAATAAATAAATAAAGGAAATGTACGGGAATCAGCAAATAAATAAATAAAGGAAATGTACGGGAATTAGCAAATAAATAAATAAAGGAAATGTACGGGAATTAGCAAATAAATAAATAAATAAAGGAAATGTACGGGAACTAGCAAATAAATAAATAAATAAATAAAGGAAATGTACGGGAATTAGCAAATAAATAAATAAAGGAAATGTACGGGAATTAGCAAATAAATAAAGGAAATGCACGGGAGCTAGCAAATAAAGAAAGAAAATGTACGGGAATTAGCAAATAAATAGAGGAAATGTACGGAAACTAGCAAATAAATAAATAAATATAGGAAATGTACGGGAACTAGCAAATAAATAGAGGAAATGTACGGGAACTAGCAAATAAATAAAGGAAATGTACGGGAATTAGCAAATAAATAAATAAAGGAAATGTACGGGAATCAGCAAATAAATAAATAAAGGAAATGTACGGGAATTAGCAAATAAATGAATAAAGGAAATGTACGGGAATTAGCAAATAAATAAATAAATAAAGGAAATGTACGGGAACTAGCAAATAAATAAATAAATAAATAAATAAATAAAGGAAATGTACGGGAATTAGCAAATAAATAAATAAAGGAAATGTACGGGAATTAGCAAATAAATAAAGGAAATGCACGGGAGCTAGCAAATAAAGAAAGAAAATGTACGGGAATTAGCAAATAAATAGAGGAAATGTACGGAAACTAGCAAATAAATAAATAAATATAGGAAATGTACGGGAACTAGCAAATAAATAGAGGATATGCAGGGGAAATAGCAAATATATAAAGGAAATGTACGGGAACTAGCAAATAAAGAAAATGCACGGAAAAGAGCAAATAAATAGAGGAAATGTACAGAAACTAGCCCAGAAAGGAGCCCTGGACGGGGGTCGGCTCTTTGTCACCCCTGGTATGAGACGACCGTATTGATGCACACCTATCGTTGTTAACTGCACTGTGTAAATGTCGATCGCGAACATGTTGAACTGTTACTTGTCACTGTATGAAAAACTTAAATAAAGAATAAAAAAAGAGCAGGAGACAAGGAATTCTACTTTAAACAGAATTTGCCATAAAGAAAGTGTAAACATTAGATGACTCTTCACAGGAAGTGTATAGGAAGGCTGTGTAAGTCACATGCAGGGAGGAGTGGCTAAGGCTGCATAAACAAAGTGTTTTACCTTCTAAATGGCAGAGAATTGAGCAATGAGACTGCAGGGGCATGATCTATACACCAAAACGGTTTCCTAAAGCTGAGGTTGTTTTAGTGACTATAGTGTCCCTGAGAATCCAGAATGAGGAGAATCCAAAAAGTAATAGAGATCATGTAACAGAAACCTGAGAATACGAATAAATGTAATACATGGGAAACACCAGACAAAAAATGAAAGGCACGTACCGGTACTGCCAGCCAGTGACTAAGTTGGTGTACTTCATCAGGTACCCGTAGATATTTTCCATGTGGTCACTGCACAGAAAAACAAAAATCAGCATGCTGGAGTAATTCTGGTGCTTGCAGTGTCTTTCCATAAATACTTTTAACTTTTACGTGACATAGTTCACTAGGAAGAATGACTACATCTGTCATAACCAACATGGCCTGGTGTCAATGAGAATAAACTTGTATGTGTACATTGTGAAACAAATTGATAGCAAATGATTAGATGGAAAAAAACAACTAGCTTTGGAACAGGCACTGGGAGCCGCTCCATTCCTCGAATAGATGGGTAAGTATATCTTTCAGTCTGTACACATGCTGGCAATTTTACCGCTGGTTAAAGAACGACAATTTTGGTGCAAAAATAACAGAGAATTCCAATATATTTTAACGTATTGCACTGAATATTGTTTTCAGTGTTTAACCTCCTTTCAAATACTCTGCGATCAGCTACAGAGAGCAACTAACTGAGTAACAGTTAAACATCTCCCACATAATCCAGGACCACTGATATAAACAGCCATTCATCTCCTGTGAGCTCACTGCATTTCTTGTCATATTAGGACAGACACCTCCATTGTAAATGACCAAGGATCCAGAACTGTTTTCATTTATCAATCCATAAAAATGACAAACTGGTGTCTTTTCTGCTCTCACCTGTATTGCCAAGCCTTGGAACCTGCAGTCCTGCCAGTCGCCCGATGGCTGGGGGGACTGGGAACCACATTCAACTTGCCCTCATTGTCAGAGACCCTCATTGGTGGCGGGTCTCCCTGCATGATGTCCTCAGAACCAATATTTTATGTACAGATTCCCTTCAATAGACCCCTGGATTAGAAGAGAGGTGAGGTCAAGCTCAGAGTGTACTCCGTCTCAGGGCTGTACAATTCAAATGTCCATACATTCATAGATGGAATCCCCTGGTTCCTGACATGTATTCGATCAATATTCGCATGCTGCAATCTGTGTGTTGGTAAAAGGGAAATTAAATAAGTGGAGCTTTCTAATCACTATGTTTGTGCTGTGTGTGTTTATATCAGTGTATTGTGTGTTTATTTCACGGTGTTGTATGTGTTTATATCACTATGTATATATTGTGTGAGCCTTTGGTCTCTCTTACAGAGGTCTTCTTACAGAAGTCCTAAGCTGAAGACGACTACCAGGGTGGGGGCTATTTCTTGGGAGGGGAAGACCGTGTCTCTCTCTCAGTCTCTGACTCAGGGCTGTCTGTCTCTCTTTCTTTTAGTCTGTCTGTCTCTCTCTGTCTCTAGACAAGTTGTGGAACTGCACTCAGCCCTTCGCCCTGGAATCCTAGGGTGCTCTTGGATCAGTCCCAGTACCAAAGAGTACTCTCTCTCTCAGTCTCTGGACTGGCTGTCTCTTCTTCTCTGTTTTTGGCCTGGCTGTCTCTTTCTCTCAGTCTCTGGCTGTCTATTTCTCAGTCTCTGGGCTGGCTGTCTATTTCTCAGTCTCTGGGCTGGCTGTCTATTTCTCAGTCTCTGGGCTGGCTGTCTATTTCTCAGTCTCTGGGCTGGCTGGCTATTTCTCAGTCTCTGGGCTGGCTGTCAATTTCTCAGTCTCTGGGCTGGCTGTCAATTTCTCAGTCTCTGGGCTGGCTGTCTATTTCTCAGTCTCTGGGCTGGCTGTCTATTTCTCAGTCTCTGGGGTGGCTGTCTCTCTCAGTCTCTGGCCTGGTGGTCTCTCAGTCTCTGGGGTGGCTGTCTCTCTCAGTCTCTGGCCTGGTGGTCTCTCGGTCTCTGGGGTGGCTATCTCTCTCAGTCTTTGGCCTGGCTGTCTCTCTCAGTCTCTGGCTGTCTCTCTCTGGCCTGGCTGTCTCTCTCAGTCTCTGCCCTGGCTGTCTCTCTCAGTCTCTGCCCTGGCTGTCTCTCTCAGTCTGTCTCTCTCTGGCCTGGCTGTCTCTCAGTCTCTGGCCTGGCTGTCTCTCTCAGTCTCAGTCTCTGGCTGTCTCTCTCAGTCTCAGTCTCTGGCTGTCTCTCAGTCTCTGGCCTGGCTGTCTCTCTCAGTCTCAGGCCTGGCTGTCTCTCTCAGCCTCTGGCTGTCTCTCTCAGTCTCAGTCTGTCTCTCTCTGGCCTGGCTGTCTCTCTCAGTCTCTGGCTGTCTCTCTCTGGCCTGGCTGTCCCTCTCAGTCTCTGGCTGTCTCTCTCTGGCCTGGCTTGCCCTCTCAGCCCTGGGCTGTCTCTGGCCTGGAGCTGCTCTTCAGCCTGCCGTCTTCTTCGGCCTGGCTGTCTTCAGCTCCTGGGCTGTCTTCTTCAGTTCTGGTTGTTTTCACCAGTCAGCTCTGGCCTGGCTGTTCTTCAGGGTTCGGTTGTTTTCGTTTTCCAGCCTGGTTTGAAAGCGTTTTCTTTCCGTTCAGCCGCCTTTCCTCGGGCCCCTGCTGCTCTTGCATTCCAGCTTCTTCCTCTCTCCTTGTCCTCCGCCCCCGCAGCCTCCAGTACAGACCGAACTCGCCCGAAAGCCGTCACTTCCGGGTCGCAGCCATGACGCAGGCGCAGTGTCCGCCATGTTGGCTGAGGGCGGCTGCCAGGTTGTGGGCGTGTCCTCTCCCAGTGGGCAGCCTGAGATTACTTCAACTGAATGTCTAACTCAGTAACTCTCATCCAGCCCCACTGTGGGCTTTAGTCTACTAAACATCAAACTGGACCTATGAAATCTCCTGACCCAGACTGAGAGACAGCTAGGACACAGCCAGAGACTGAGAGAGACAGCCAGGACAGAGACTGAGACTGAGACTGAGAGAGACAGCCAGAGACTGAGAGAGACAGCCAGGCCAGAGAGAGACAGACTGAGACTGAGAGAGGCAGCCAGGACAGCCAGACTGAGAGAGACAGCCAGGACAGAGACTGAGACTGAGACTGACAGCCAGAGACTGAGAGAGACAGCCAGGACAGAGACTGAGACTGAGACTGAGAGAGACAGCCAGGACAGCCAGACTGAGAGAGACAGCCAGGACAGAGACTGAGACTGAGAGAGACAGCCAGAGACTGAGAGAGACAGCCAGGCCAGAGAGAGACAGACTGAGACTGAGAGAGACAGCCAGGACAGCCAGACTGAGAGAGACAGCCAGGACAGAGACTGAGACTGAGACTGAGAGAGACAGCCAGAGACTGAGAGAGACAGCCAGGCCAGAGAGAGACAGACTAAGACTGAGAGAGACAGTATTCCAGTTTGGCGTTTAATGATTACCCTGTGTGTAGTAGCTGATACGTCAGTGTCCACAATTTACAATAATTTCACATCATTTTCAGACTGACAGAAACCCGCCATTTCGTCTTTATTTTAACACGTTTCCGAGATCCTAAATAAAAATGTGCTTTAAAAGACCTGCTGATACCGGAGAAACTGACGGAAGCAAAGCACAGAGGGATGGACACAGGTTTCTTCAGGAAGGAAGAGATTCTTTATTGGATCACCGATCGGGACTCAGAGGGACTAATGTCACAAAAAATACAGCAAGTTCTGAGCCCTGAACAATAGTGCAGGCTCCCTATATAGGCACATAACTCCTCCCATATTAAGCTCCACCCGCACATTCTCTTGACCAATCATTACAAATAAGAATTAACTTCCTGCTTGACCACATGGCTTGTTCAGCACAATGGAGGAGGGGAATACTACATCCTGTATTCTTGCACATGCTCCGTACACTACTGATCGTATCTTGCCTCGTGCAACCAACTGATCGATACGCCAGCATATGCACGTACACATGCCACGTGGTAATCTCGGCCTACTAAATTTATTTTTACCGAGATTCCACCACATTCCCCCCTTTGATGCCTCTTGATATTTTACAATTACTTGAGGCATCACTTAACCTTGGTTTGCATACACCACAAGTTACCTTTGAACCAGACCAGACTTATCCTATGATGTGAATCTTCAACACTCGCCTTCCTGCATTGGTTCTCCCTGATCTAGAGCCTTATATTTATAAATTGCCATTATCTGTGCAGCAGCCTTCCTCTCTGCTATATTTTCTATCAGGCTTTGCACAGACCTAACTACTAAGGGTATAAGACACGGCAGGAGTAGACACAACATTAAAATCAGTAGGACTCCACCTACCACTGCCTTAAGCCCTCAAAACCACTCATACCAGCTACCAAACCAACTACTTGGATTGTACCCTTTCCATACCTGAGTAGGCACATGCGCTAGTTTAACCATATGGCTAGTAAGCTCAGCTTTTGCTTGCCCTTCGTCATCTATTTGAAGACAGCAATTGCTCAGGTTAAACTTCCCACATACACCTCCCTCTACTGCCAAAAGATAATCCAAGGCTAATCTATTTTGGTAAACTGCTGTTCTCATCCTGGTATTATGCTTCGCTAGAAGATTGAGCGCTTGTGATGTCTCGTTAGTAATGATCTCAACCACCGCCTGTAACCTTATAATGCGGTTGAGCATATAAATAGGGGTTCTATAACCAAAGGTACCATCCTCTGCCCACGTGGCTGGCCCATAATAATCTATAATACGCTGGGAGGCCATTCATTATCTTCCCAGGCACCTATCTCTATGGGTCCCCTTTTCTTCCTATGATTCACATCATACACTTTAACACCTAAAGTCTCACCTGTTTCAATAGGCAACAAGAAGAAGGGATGGTTTTAACATACCCAACACACATGCCCCTTCCCAGTCCTGTGGTAACTCCGAATAGGCCTTCTTACCACAGATCCAGTACAAATTCGCTGGGGCTCTCCAGTTAGATGTGATGGATAGATCAAACCATACGTCCTTTAAATTGGCATATCTTGCAAACGGGTTAGATGGTTCTGAGACATTGAACCACCAAGTTGTATTCTTTGTATCATCATCATAAGCTTTTTGCCCTAGACAAGTTAATTCTCCTACAGAAGTATTATACATCATTCCTTTCCTCGCTATGCAAACATAACCTATGATGGAGGTCTTCAATTTCCACTCAGATTTACCTCTAACACTCATATGATAGTCGGCTTGTGTAGATATTAATTGGTCAACTGCCTCAGAACCGGACATTACCTCCTTTGCTTCCCAAGGCCATTGGTCTCCCATGTTAGTACCTCCACACACATAGCAGTTGGTAACATTAAGACTACCGGCAATACTCTCGGCTAAATCAATGAACAAGTTTTAGCATTATGGGGGATCTTATTATCTATGCTCATCTCTTCATAAAAGGAATGGTATACTTGATGAGTTTGGGAGGTTACCGTATCAGTCTCTATCCCTATAAACAATATTGTCCCAGGGTCTAAACCCGTCCCATATATTTGAAACCCAAATAAATTACCATATTTATCTAAGAACTTGTCAGGGTTATTTATAAGTATATGGATTGGATTGCATTCCATAGACTTACAATATGGATTAGTAGGCAACTTAGTCACAATCATGTCCTTGTCTGCTGTCTGTCCCCAAGTCGCCCACCCCACACAAGACCAATATGGGCAGAAGTTATAATCTCTATTTGGGCATCTTGGACTTACATATTTATTTTTACTACTGGGACAAATATATTTATCGTTAGACCCATACGTCCTCTCCCATCTAAGATCCCCACATACATTCCACGGCTTTTTACCACTTGATATTGCTTTACACGCATCAAATAGCAGAGCACCTGAAGAATATACGGATTTTAATACCGTCTTATTAATTAGGGTCCCCTGAGAATCTCTATTTCTGAGAGTCAACCAAATTGTACGGGGTTGATACTCAGGACTGAAGCACTTAGGTTCTCCTACTCCTAAATGACACACACTATATTCTATATTTAAGTATCTACATCTTTATACATCTCCTTTACACTCATATTGCGAATGCCAAATTAGGGTCTGGGATATATGGTTACCTGTTCTTGTAGTCTTAATGCATACCTCACAGCTAGGAGTGTCGGTACCTCTACTTTCCTGAATATAAAAATACACATAAATAAACATTATTAAAAATACATCTTTCGTCGTCATCCTCAGTCTTCGTCCGTGCGAAGGCACCTCAGCTTCCAGGATGTAAGTGCTGCAGGGAATGGAGTTCTGCTCGTCTTCACAGGGGTCCCCTCAAGACTTTCCCTGACTTATACACTCGTTGGTGAGTGGACAGGCTTTATTATGGCCTTCTCACTCACTTACCACGTCTCTGAAACAATAAAATTTGTAATCTACAAGGTTCCTCGTCACTCCGACTGAGTCGTGCGTTTTAACCGGATCTTGCAGGGATTCTCTGGATTTGCCGTAACTTGCCAGGAATCGGCTGCTGCTGGTTTAACCCTGGAGTGATGTATCCACGGAGCCACTTCGGCTACTTTTATCGCTGTAGGGGTAGACAGAAGAACAACATAAGGACCTCTCCACTTGGGCCCTAACGGCATATTATTCCACTCTTTAATCCACACTTGGTCGCCTGGGTGGTAACTATGAATTGGGGGATAAATATTCACAGGTAATCTATCTTGTACCCATTTCTGTACCTCCTCCATAGTCTTACCCAACTCTACAACCTGCTGCCGGGTAATTCCTTCTCCTAACTGACTCAAATCCCCCCTTAAGTTACCAAGCACGGGAGGTGGTCGCCCGTACATGATTTCAAAAGGAGAGAGGCCCATCCTTCTGGTAGGTGTACTACGGATTCGCAATAGAGCTATGGGCAAGAGAACGTTCCACTTAAGTTGGGTTTCCTGACACATTTAGCCAACTGATTCTTAATAGTTCTATTCATTCTCTCTACCTTACCAGAACTCTGGGGTCTATATGCCGTATGAAGCCTCCACTTTATACCAAGCATATGAGTCAATTGTTGTAGACACTGATGAACAAAAGCTGGACCATTGTCCGATCCTATAGAGCAGGGTAGTCCATATCGGGTATTATTTCTCGTAGCAGGAATCTCACGACTTCTCCTGCTTTCTCTGTACGAGTAGGACATGCTTCTACCCAGCCTGAATAGGTGCACACCACTACCAGCAGGTAGCGATGTCCACCCGATTTAGGCATCACTGTATAGTCAATTTGTAAATCGCACATGGGAAGTCCCCCCATAAACTGGACTCCTGGTGGCTTTACTGGTCCTTGTCTTGCATTATTTTTAGCACACGTTACACATCTACGTACAATGGCCTGAGTCAAGTTGGCCAATCTTGGTATGTAGAAATGTTTTCTGAGAGATTCTTCTGTACTGTCTCTCCCAGAATGTGTCCCGTTATGATAGTTTTGGACAATTTCTACCGCTAGTGATGCTGGAATAACTATTCTTCCATCTTCTAACTGATACCATTTGTTCTCCAAATACTTTCCAGGTTCAGTCCTAAACCACTCCTCTTCTTGAGCTGTATAAATTGGAGTCCATTGAGACAGTGGAGTTGGTATAAGAGCAGCTATATGCCCCACATATTCCTGTCTTCCTGATTCAGCAGCACGCTTAGCTGCACTATCTGCCATCCGATTCCCTTTGGTTACATCACCATCTCCTCTCAGATGCGCCCGACAATGTATAATACCGACTTCTTTCGGCTCCTACACTGCTTCCAATAGTTGTAGGATCTCAGCTGCGTATTTGATTTCTTTGCCTTCGTATTTGATTTCTTTGCCTTCTGAATTCAATAGTCCTCTTTCTTTATACAAAGCTCCGTGGGCATGAGTGGTTAAAAACGCATACTTGGAGTCCGTGTAGATGTTCACTCTTAAACCTTCAGCCAATTGTAACGCTCGTGTCAGTGCTATCAATTCTGCCTTTTGTGCTGATGTTCCTTTTGCCAGTGACCGAGCTTCTATCACCTTGTCTATCGTTGTTACTGCATATCCTGCATAGCGGATCCCTTCTTTTACATAACTACTGCCGTCGGTGTAATATTGAACATCAGGGTTCTGGATGGGAAAATCACGAAGATCTGGTCTACTTGAAAATACTTCATCCATTACTTCCAAACAATCATGTTGACTTTCAGTAGGTTGTGGCAAAAGGGTAGCTGGATTTAAGGTATTTACAGTCTCTAAATGCACTCTTGGGTTTTCACACAACATTGCTTGATACTTGGTCATACGGCTGTTACTAAACCAATGATTTCCTTTGTAATCCAACAACGTCTGTACTGCATGTGGAACTCGTACATAAAGTTCTTGACCCAGAGTGAGTTTATCGGCTTCAGCTACTAGCAGGGCTGCTGCAGCTACAGCTCTTAGACAAGGTGGAAGTCCGCTGGCCACTGCATCCAGTTGCTTAGACATGTAGGCAACAGGTCTTTGCCATGATCCCAAGTACTGTGTCAATACTCCCACAGCCATTCTTCTTTGCTCATGTACATACAGGTAGAATGGCCGTGTGTGGTCAGGTAGACCTAATGCTGGGGCACTCATCAAAGCCCTCTTCACATCTTCGAATGCCGTTTGCTGTTCTTGAGTCCATAAGAAGGGGTCGTGCTCTGTACCTTTGATAGCTGCATACAGTGGTTTTGCCAGTATCGCGTAGCTGGGAATCCATATCCTACAGAAGCCTGCTGCCCCCAAGAATTCTCGCACTTGTCTTCTATTCCTGGGTATCGGTATTTGGCACACAGCTTCTTTTCTCTCTGGCCCCATAATTCTTTGACCTTCAGAGATATGGAATCCCAGATATTTGACAGTTGGCAAACACAACTGAGCCTTCCTTCTTGACACCTTGTATCCTGCCTTCCAGAGAATGTGTAGTAGATCGTGCGTTGCTTGCTGACATACTTCCTTTGTAACTGCTGCTATCAACAAGTCATCTACATATTGTAATAATACACACTCTCCTGGGATAGACTCGAAATCTAGTAGATCTTGACTTAGAGCTGAACCAAATAGGGTAGGTGAATTTTAAACCCCTGGGGCAATCTTGTCCAGGTCATTTGGCGTTTCGAGCCCGTTACAGCATTTTCCCATTGGAAAGCGAAGATACATTGGCTTTCTGCGGCAATTCGGAGGCAAAAGAAGGCATCTTTGAGATCTAAGACTGTAAAGTAAGTAGCCCCGCCCGGAATTAAAGCAAGCAGGTTATATGGATTGGGCACGACTGGATGTATACTAACAACCGCATCATTGACTGCTCTCAAGTCCTGCACAGGTCGATACTCATCTGTACCGGGCTTTTGAACAGGCAGCAATGGGGTGTTCCAGGGGGAAGTACAGAATTTTAGGATACCATACCGTATGAACTTATCCAGATAAGATTGGATGTTCTTCTTAGCCTTCTGCGGAATATGATATTGTCTCAGGCTTACTGGATAAACCCCAAGTTTTAGTTCGATTTTAATAGGTGGAATATTGCGGGCCAGTTCCTGGTGGGTTGTTCTCTGCCCAAACTCCTGGTATGTTAAATAAGGATTCATCACTCCTCGGGTTTTGGCTAGTCAACACTGTATAAAGTCGCCACTCTTCTTCCTTTGGTACAGACAATGTCATAATACCTGAGGGTCCATTAAACTTTAAGGATGTTGTTCCATTTGGTAGGAACGTAATCTGCGCTTGTAATTTGGATAGCATATCACGCCCCAGCAATTGGACTGGACACTCAGGCATATAAAGGAATTGATGTTTTACTACGTGGCCTCCCAATGTACAGAGTCGACTTTTAAGAACCGGTTTTTCAGCACTTCTTCCAGTTGCTCCTATTACAGTAATAGTTCTTCCAGATGGAGGAGCAACTTGATTAGTCACCACCGAATGTTCAGCACCAGTGTCGATCATAAACGCACTCCTTTTTCCCCCTATTGATACATCGACCATAGGCTCCGCTCGACCAAGGGGATGGAGCCCGGTCGGTATCAATAGTCCTCCATGACCGTGTCAGCCAATCCCACAAAGTCCCTACCTTCTCTATCGCGGGACCTTTGCGCTGCTGGATAGTACCTATCTTCCCTTACACTTCCTCTGTTCCCATTACTCCCTCTATTACCATTACTCCCTCCGGGGCCTCCTCTACCTCTCGCTCTGCCTCTAAAGTTTCCGTAACCTGCCCTGGGTAAGTCTCTCTCATACTGCTCTCTTTGCGGACACTCGTTCCTCCAATGCCCTTCTTCCTTACAGTACGCGCACTGATTCCTACTCAAAGGCTCCCTATTCCATCTACCATCGCCTCTATCTGGGCCCCGTCTATCTACGCCTGCGATCGCTACCGCTAGCATATCTGCCTTTCTACGCATCTTGCGCTCTTCCTCTTTCTTACTTTCTGTTTTCCTATTCATATATACTTTGTTCGCTACCTCCATTAGTTGGGTGATAGACATACCTGCAAACCCTTCCAATTTCTGTAGCTTGCGCTTAATATCTCCGTAAGCTTGGCTGACAAAGGCGGAGTTTACCATTCGGGAATTATCAGCGTCTTCAGGATTAAAGGGGGTATACAAGCGGTATGCCTCCAATAATCGGTCATAAAAGACACTGGGCGCTTCATCACTTTTCTGAATCACCTCAACTGTCTTCGACATGTTAATAGCTTTCTTCCCTCCGGCTTTCATACCAGCAATTATAGCATCTCTATAGGCTTTAAGTTGAGCCATATCTGCGCCATTTACATTCCAGTCAGGATCGGTGTTAGGGTAATGTGTTGCGGCCCATGCTGCCGGATTGGCTTGATTTAAAGCACGGGCTCTCTCCTCTAGCGCCTTAATGGCCGCTTGGTTAATCCTTGTCCTTTCCTCATTATTGAACAATGTCATTAATAACTGCTGGCAATCAGCCCATGTCGGGTTATGTGTCTGAACTATCGAGGTGAACAGATCGGTCATAGCTTGTGGTTTCTCAGTGTACGAGGAATTGTGGGTCTTCCAATTCAAGAGATCGGTAGTCGTGAACGGGACATATACGAAGACTGGGTCAGCATGTGCCATTTGACCTGCGGCATCGATATAGGCTGACCCAGGATTCAGACGAAGAGGCATCTGATAATGTTTTAATTGTTGGGTACCGGTCAGTTGTCGGGTTAGTATGGGGCTACGTGGAGGGGCGTCAGTTAAAGGTTCCGGTCGAGAGGTAATAGGGCATGAGGATGTGGGAACTTGATTTTGGGAAAAGTCAGTGAATAGTATACTCCGAGCCGAGCTAGAAGAAGCTTGACCGGAAGTTTGAAGTGGCGCCAAATCAGGATATTCAGATCTAATGGGGGTTGGTCCTGGTTCCGGAAGGGGAGTTTTAATACGAGGGGGGGTGGATTCTGTACTGGAGGAGGAAGCGGAAGTGGATGGGGGCAATAGGGGAAGGGGTGCAGAACTTCCTGCATTCGCGTCACTTTCTCTTAAAGGAAAGTAAGGGGGCGGCAAAGGGATCTCGGACTCAGGGGGCGTGTCCAAAATGGGCCTAACACCAGTCCTAGTGGACAAACAAGTCCTGGCCACCATGAGGCGACATTGCTCCTCGTGGCATATCCGAATCCATTTTGGCGAGTCGTTTACGGCCTGCCTCCAACAATCAATGTATGGAAACTGTCCGTAAAGTTCAGGCCTACCTGATACAGCCACGTGTACACGCTGTACCAGGGTTGGATCCAAACTGCCACGCGGCGGCCATGCCGCAACCAAAGTAGGCCACTCCCTAGTGCACAAAGTGACCAAACGTACAGGAGACATTTTAACCCCAAAATCACATGTTTTGAATCCCTTTTTAAAATTCTTTACCATACAACCTAAGGGATCCGAAATCGTTGACTCTGACGCGCCCATACTTATCAATGGAACGTCGTTGACAACGAATACTATACACGCGTTCTTATTCAACAGTCACACCCATTTCCTCTGGCAACAGCACCACGTGGTACAGTTACCAAGTGAAACGTACACAATAACACAATAATCACTCAGGGAATTCCCGTACACACACAGCTGTTACACCAGTCACTAAATAATCAATATTATGCCCTTTGGCGAAACTATACAGTCACCCACGCTATAATTCTCTATATATGAATTACCCGTCTATAACACACCCCAGTAACATCGCCTTTTACTAGTATCGGTTACAGTACGGTTAGCATAGGTCAAAGCACAATTTAAGGTCACAATACAATTATTAGTGGTTACGGTGTTAAACATGCAATAAACGACAATGATTAGTACTTATATACAGTGTCAGTAAATATACAGGGTTATGGTACCGTGCACTATGATACAACAACACACTATTAACACTCTCGCTAGACGGCTGAGCTCGCGCTATCTAACAAGATATACACTTTACTAACAATCTTTAACACATTTACAATCCTAACTAAACTATTGGCCAGTACCTTGAATGGACTACCTAAAACTATATACACCCGTTTTGGTTAGCCACACTGCCCAAGCACCACATATAGCGAACTAGAGGGCGGAATTTACAAAGTTGCCCTTCTAGTCTATTTACTCTATCAAAAGTCTAGTGGGTTCCAAATTTACACGCCTTCCCACTTAGCCAAGATAGGTTGAGAGCTAGCGAACCGAATTTACACAGGCGCCGCTTAGTCTCCCGGTCCCTCCGACCTAGCGAACGTAATATACACCCTAGAGCGCTAGTCTAGACAAGACACCGGTGTCCGGCTAGGGCTATTTACACAGGACCCCGCCTGACTAACCAGATCAAACGGTCTTACTAAAGAGCGTTCGATCGAGCGGTGCGCCTTCGCTCCTTCCCTCCGACAGAGGGGGCAGATTCCATACACAGATTTAAACCCCTTTTGGGCCTACCGCACAATCGGTATACCCCTAGTGGGTCTGCCGTCTAAAACAGCAGTTGTCTTACCTCCTCGTTCCTGAACCTGAGTTCACACTCATCGACGGGGACACCCCAGCACTTCTTACGTAGAGGCCGATGATCTCCTGGACAACAGACCAGTGGCGCCGAGACGAAGGGAGGTCCACGCAGAAGTTCAGGGGTGCAGCCGTAGAGAACGTGGGCAAAGATAGACCGTCTCACGCCTCTGCCTCTCAGCTACCGTTGAACGATGAGTTCCCGGCCAATGCACCAAATGATACCGGAGAAACTGACGGAAGCAAAGCACAGAGAGATGGACACAGGTTTCTTCAGGAAGGAAGAGATTCTTTATTGGATCACCGATCGGGACTCAGAGGGACTAATGTCACCAAAAATACAGCAAGTTCTGAGCCCTGAACAATAGTGCAGGCTCCCTATATAGGCACATAACTCCTCCCATATTAAGCTCCACCCGCACATTCTCTTGACCAATCATTACAAATAAGAATTAACTTCCTGCTTGACCGCATGGCTTGTCCAGCACAATGGAGGAGGGGAATACTACATCCTGTATTCTTGCACATACTCCGTACACTACTGATCGTATCTTGCCTCGTGCAACCAACTGATCGATACGTCAGCATATGCACGTACACATGCCACGTGGTAATCTCGGCCTACTAAATTTATTTTTACCGAGATTCCACCACACTGCCCTCTTTTACCCCTCGCACCGCTTCACGTACGCCAAAGTGGGGAGGTATGGCGTAAAATGGTGTCCACTTATTGTGCCAGAAGGGTTCGAGGAGTTCTAACTGTCCACAATTCAGAGGGACAGTACTGATTTTGGGCTACTGTCCCAGAAAAGGTAGCGCTTGCACTCCACTAAGGT